TTTTGACAAAACGCCAGCTACCTAACAAATCTTTGAATCGTTATCAAAATCAAGATATCGTTATTTCGATGAAATGCGGGGAAAAACTCACGAGAATCTATTGGCATTACTTCATGGAGAAAAAGATTGACAGTTTCACCTGCAGGTTATGTCCTGACTGCACAAACTTCATATACTGTGCCATGCTAAATTTTTGAGATACCAAAAAAACTGACCGGGTCTTGGAAGCTACTCCAATGAATAAGAATTCAAATACATCATTACAATATGATTACTTATGTATTAACGCGTTATTTGAACAATTAGCTTTACTCAATTCAATTTCGAAAGATTTATGAGTCGGCATAAATTTCCGCCTGCGCTACATACACGTTAATATAAACTGCTAAATAGCCCGAATTAATTATCCAAAATAGTCTCACATTCAAATTTCCTACCTTCACTAAAATAGATCACATGCAAAAAATCGATTTCACTTCGAGCTAAAGGAATCAATTTATGCAAAAGTGAAAAAAAAACACTTTCAAACGCTTCTCAAAAAAGTTTTAAAAAAAACCTATCCCATACATTTTCATAAGAACACATTTTATCGAACAGGAAAACTTTGGCCGTCGAAACAACACAATATAATTGACTAAGCCGGTACAACATCAGCCGAAACCATTTGGTCGATAAAAAAAACATTCAAAGAAACAAATTAATTCAAAATCAGACTTGGTAAAATGACAATTTACAGAGCTTTCCATTGTTATGCCGACTTAACATAAGCAGACATATAGTAGGCCGACATATTTTTGCAAGGAAGATTATCCTGTTTGAAAAAAAAGTCCTGGTCAGATCAGAACCCAGGACCTTTGCAGTCCCAGGCGTATTCGTTCCCTCCAGACTAAGCGTACCAGAGATGCGTAGAAACTTGAGTTCATAATGAACCAAGATACCAATTGATCTGTTAAACATGTTGTTCATGCGAAGTCTTTTCAGAATTGATAACGCTTTCTAATCGCAAGCATAACGATATTCAAAAAAACTTGAATCGTGTTCGACCTTCTAAAAGCGTGCAGTGAACCTTTATGGACGGTGATAAAGCCTGTTATAACCAAGAAAAAGCCGAACTTTTTAATCACTATTTCCATTCCGTCTACAGCAATAATCAGTAAGAGCCAAAAATTAACAACGACAGCGACAATGAGACACTTTTCAGTCACTTCCCTTTTGACGTCGAGAAAGTAAGAATTTATGTATTAAAAAAAACGGAATTAAGTCGAAAGGCCCCGATAGAATGGGCAAGAATCTCAAGTTCTGTCTGAAAGTCACAGCTTTTATTTTTCACCACCCTAGTCAACAAACAGCGTTTCCCCTCCAAATGGAAGACAGGTGAAATAGAACCAAATCAAAGAGAACGACAAACAACTTACCTCGAACAACGACCTACAAGTCTTATTATTGCTTGGGAAATTTAACTTTGACCAGATGTATTTGGCGGTTCGACCGATGCTGCATTCACTACTCGCAACACGGTTTCCTTCAAACAACAACCAACCTAATACGCTATCTGCATGAAATGTATCTACTCTTTGACAATCAGAAACACTCCGAATCGCTGTACCTTGACTTCGAAAAAGCATTCGATGAAGTCAACCTACAAAAACTCGTCGAAAAGGTGAGTTATTCAAGTTCGATGAGCCTTGCCTTGGACTGCGCAAAAGCTACTTGAGCAGCAGGTTCAACAGGTTCGTATCGGAAATTGCATCTCCACGAACTTTCAATAATTAATGGGGTTCCTCAGGGCTCTTTACTTGGCCCGCTAATGTTCATCATGCATGTAAATGACCAAACAACGACTGCAATGTCCATTTGCTACGCCGATGGCCACAAAGTTGTCTCAGACAAGGCTATGACGCTGAATTTAAATGCTAACGAAAATGGAACTTATGCTCAATTTGGTCTTTATATGAGCAAAAGCAAGTTCTCCAGTTGAAACGCAACACATCTGTTTTCATGACAAACAACATACCGAAAACAGACGCCATGAAAGATCTCAAACAAAAACATGAACAAACTTGAACTGCACTCACAAGCCAAATCCAGATCCGCCACATCTTTGAAAGCCTTCTTAGCTCGCAAATAGTTCAGCAGTCAATAAAAAAAGAATGCCTATAGAGGCTACGAAGTGCCAATAATTAGCTATCGCGCGTCCTTCTGCAAATCCTCCAAGTTCGACCTAGCAGCAATTGAGAAAGGGTGGCGCCGAGCAAGTAGTTGAATCCTGGGCACAAATGAGCTCTATACAAAGCTCGATTGGAGAAATGGCAATTCGGACCATTATCGCCATATCACGAGATGCAGGTGGTGCTACTTTTTGCTGAAATGTTACCTCAAAAACTGATATTGACTAGTCAAACCTTGTTCAGATTGCCTAAACTGGTGAAACAACATCCCATGCAGAACCTATTTATGCCAGCAAGTGCTTCTATCTGCATAAATGTGGTCCAGATTTTTGAAAAAAACGCCAGCTACCTAACAAATCTTTGAATCGTTATCAAAATCAAGATATCGTTATTTCGATGAAATGCGGGGAAAAACTCACGAGAATCTATTGGCATTACTTCATGGAGAAAAAGATTGACAGTTTCACCTGCAGGTTATGTCCCGACTGCACAAACTTCATATACTGTGCTATGCTAAACTTTTGAGATACCAAAAAAACTGACCGGGTCTTGGAAGCTACTCCACTGAATAAGAATTCAAATCCATCATTACAATATGATTACGTATGTACTAACGAGTTGTTTGAACAATTAGCTTTACTCAATTCAATTTCGAATGATTTAGGAGTCGGCATAAATGTCCACCTGCGCTACATACACGTTAAATAAACTGCTAAATAGCCCGAATTAATTATCCAAAATAGTCCCACATTCAAATCTGCTTAGCTTCACTAAAAAAGATCACAGGCAAAAAATTGATTTCACTGCGAGCTAAAGGAATCAATTAATGAAAAAGTGAAAAAAAAACTTTCAAACGCTTCTCAAAAAAGTTTTAAAAAAACCTATCCCATACATTTTCATAAGAACACATTATATCGAACAGGAAAACTTTTGCCGCCGAAACAACACAATATGATTGACTAAGCCGGTACAACATCAGCCGAAACCATTTAGTCGAAAAAAAACATTAAAAGAAACAAAATAATTCAAAATCAGACTTGGTAAAATGACAGAGCTTTCTATTGTTATGCCGACTTAACATAAGCAGACATATATTTTTGCAAGGAAGATTATCCTGTTTGAAAAAAAAGTCCTGGTCAGATTAGAACCCAGGACCTTTGCAGTCCCAGGCGTATTCGTTGCCTCCAGACTAAGCGTACCAGAGATGCGTAGAAACGTGAGTTCATTATGAACCAAGATACCAATTGATCTGTTAAACACGTTGTTTATCCGAAGTCTTTTCAGATTTGATAACGCTTTCTAATCGCAAGCATAACGATATTCAAGAAAACTTGAATAGTGTTCGACCTTCTAAAAGCGTGCACAGTGAACCTTTATGGACGGTGATAAAGCTTGTTATAACCAAGAAAAAGCCGAACTTTCCAATCACTATTTCCATTCCGTCTACAGCAATAATCAGTAAGAGCCAAAAATTGACACCGACAGCGACAATGAGACACTTTTCAGTCACTTCCCTTTTGACGTCGAGAAAGTAAGAAATTATATATAAAAAACGGAAATAAGTCGAAAGGCCCCGATAGAATGGGCAAGAATCTCAAGTTCCTTCTGAAAGTCACTGCTTTTATTTTTCACCACCATAGTCAACAAACAGCGTTTCCCCTCCAAATGGAAGACAGGTGAAATAGAACCAAATCAAAGAGAACGACAAAGAACTTACCTCGAACAACGACCTACAAGTCTTATTATTGCTTGGGAAATTTAACTTTGACCAGATGTATTTGGCGGTTCGACCGATGCTGCATTCACTACTCGCAACATGTTTTCCTTCAAACAACAACCATTAATTAGTTCCTTCAAACAAAGTGCCATTAATTAGCTATCGCGCGTCCTTGTGCAAATCTTCCAAGTTCGACCCAGCAGCTATTGAGAAGGTGCAGCACCGAGCAAGTAGTTGAATCCTGGGCACAAATGAGCTCTTTACAAAGCCCGATTGGAGAAATGGCAATTTTGACCATTATCGCCATATCACGAGATGCAGGTGGTGCTACTTTTTGCTGAATTATTACTTCAAAAACTGATATTGACTGGTCAAAAAAATTTATTCAGATTGCCGAAACTGGTGAAACAACATCCCATGCAGAACCTATTTATGCCAGCAAGTGCTTCTGTCTGCATAAATGTGGTTCAGATTTTTGACAAAAGCCAAATACCTTACAAATCTTTGAATCGTTACCAAAATCAAGACATCGTTATTTCGAAGAAATGCGAGGAAATACTCACGAGAATCTATTGACACTACTCCATGGAGAAATGCATCGACAGTTTAACCTGCATGTTATGTCGTGACTGCACAAACTTCATTAACTGTGCCATGCTAAATTTTTGAGATACCAAAAAAACTGACCGGGTCTTGGAAGCTACTCCAATGAATAATAATTCAAATCCATCATTACCATTATGACTACGTATGTATTAACGCGTTATTTGAACAATTAGCTTTACTCAATTCAATTTCGAATGATTTATGAGTCGGCATAAATTTCCGCCTGGGCTACATACACGTTAATATAAACTGCTAAATAGCCCGAATTAATTATCCAAAATAGTCCCACATTCAAATCTACTTAACTTCACTAAAAAAGATCACAGGCAAAAAATCGATTTCACTGCGAGCTTAAGGAATCAATAATGTTCAAATGGTACAGAAATACCGTCAGAAATTGATCGCTGAATTTTGTTTGGAGAAAGAACCACCGAGCACAAATATTCCGTCAATTTCTTCAAAACCCGAACCAATTACTCAAAAACACGATAAAAAATAGAAGAGCTAACTTGATTAAGTTGGGGTGATTTATCAACCGATGAAATTTGACCTCCTCTAAAACTGCTTTTTCATCTTCGACGGTTCGGGTCAAGATTCGTTTTACTGCGTACAACTTCTTTTCCCTGCTTGACTTATCTACCATCAAATCTACGACACTGAAGCCCCTGAAACACAGAACTCAACCTTACTTTCTATTCCTCGAACAACAAAAAGCAACAACAATCGAAAATTACTTTCCCTTCTGCAATTCGGTTTACATTCTCGAAAGTTTTTCCGTGGATAGAGAAGCTTTCTTTCGTACAGAAACAGCCCATGCATTAATCTGAAGAAATTGATGTTATTTCAATGTAACCATAAGCTATCTAAACAAGACAGCTCGTATCTGATAAAATCCTTGAATAATCTGACCGCCCAGAAACATGTGCTCTAGTTTTTGCCCCTAAGCAATTTTGATTTTACACAGAGGCGAAGCGGAACTTCGCACCACTAGCAATACAATACAGCAAAGCCTGTAAGTTGAAAAAAATCGAAACGGTCAAACAAACAGGATCTATCAAAACGAATAACGCTAGTTTTGGAAAAAAAAACGTGAACAGACAATGAAAAAGTATCGATTTCATTGTCTGATGATGATGGCAAGCATCGTAAGAAAATTAATACGCCTTGAAAACGTTGAAGATACTTGAGCAGACAACCTACTAGCCGAAACAAAAAATTCAAATAGACTTGAACACCAATTAAACTTTTCAAGTTCCCCTAAAAAAACACGATACATGAGGCCATTAAACCGATATAGTACAGCTCGAAACCTATTAAGCCAAAAAAAACCAAAAAAAACTATGAAAACAAAAAAAACCGAATTGGTAAAACTACGACCAACATAAAAACCCTATTTCGAGTATAACGGATATTTGAAATGCTCAAAATAAGTCTGTGGCAACACTTCCAACACAGATGAGCCATGCGGGAAAATAATTACGGGCAAAATATAGTACCCGTTTTTAACACTCTTGCTAAGAGCAGGGGAAAAGATTATTAATTATACTATGGAAAAAAATGAAAACCTTGCTACACACAATAACAAGCACCAGTACAAAGTAGCCTATTTCGAGATCAAAAATCCTTACTTGAGTCGGTAATCTGTCTTAATAAATTTGGAACAATTTTCAAGCCTAACAAGCTCGCCGCTTACGCTATCCAATAATAGAAAGGTGAAGCGCGCAATTATTATCTAACTGACCAAATCATCAATTTCAAAACAGAAGAAAAAATGTAGCTGACATGGTTCCCAAGCTTATCACCCCGCGTTTTTTAACCCCCTTTCTCTTAATTCCTCTCATATAACCACAGAATTAGATAACACAACTACAATTTAACCCCTTTTTAATACCAATTAATAGAATCAAAGTGAAACCTACTTGAAAGAAGCTCGGAACCATAGCGTCGATAAACATCAAAATTTAATTGCGAAAAATTTCGCGAATCAAAACGAAATAACATGCAAGCTGCTAAATGCTGTTTAGATTTGAACAAAAATGAACTTGCCGATAGTCTAGACTTTGATATGAAATTGAAAACCATTCAGATCTGCATGATTCAAATTATTAACCAAAAATGATTAGATTTCTCCAAAATTGAACTTGATCTTGAAAACAATCTTGCTAATAATAAATTAAGAGGCTTAAATTAAACGAATTATGGAAAGAAAACTGGTTGTGACCAAAACTTTGATCGATCTTATCTAAGTTTTTTTTTTTTAAATGGCAATAATTTTTAAGTAAAACTTAACTAATTTTTCGAACCATCTAATGTTTGTCAATTTTTTTTCAACTGTCGGCATACAACGCAATGTCTAAAGGGTTTGCCAGCCCCAAGTCCCAACCAAGCTAGCTTCCCACCAATGGAGCAGTTGTTCCGGGATTAAAATGCTAGAGACAGCATTCTTCAATGCGTTTTTTTACGTCTCCGAGATAAAACATTTTAGGAGTAGCTTTGAAAGTTCCGTCAGCCAACCAAAACTTTGACTTTTCGAGCACACGTAGCATTTCTGGGTCACCGAAAAATATAATCCTTTGGTGATCATACTGTACACTATCAAATCTTTCGAAGTTCCTAAATAGCTCGGGTATTTCGAAATTTCTTGTTGCTGAGGAGACTGGTAAAACATGTTCTCGTTGCTGGCGCATGCGTTGTGCAGTTCGATCTAAATTTGCATTAGTGGCAAGATTGTTTGTTATGAGAGCTGAATTACTGTGGCGACTGCGACAGTCGGAGTATCACACTCGCTCAGGTCCTTGATATGTTTCAAAAGTAGTCGAGCATCAGGTTTTCCCGTGGATATGTCGTGATTATGCTCACCCCTCGTTTGAAAAAAAAATTTAGCCGTCTGTAGTTGCTGTTGCTCGGCATTTATGAGTCTGGTATTTTGAGCAGTTCCAGTTAGTAGTGGTTTTGTTCTTACGTTTAAGATATTACTCGTGGCCTGATGCTACTAAAATTTGTTAGTGTTTGGAGGATAAAGTAAAATGGAAAGACCCTTCAAACATTTTAACTCAAAGAATAGTACAACAATCTTTCAAGTATAAGGCAGTATGATTTAATGTTCTTTTTTTAAAAAAATTCTTGAGTTGCTTTCAATTAGCACCATAAAGTTGTCTCTGTTTTAAACGCGTGAATGAGGGATTATTTCTCTAACTAATCGAAATGCAATTATTTTTGAGAGGCTAGAGGCATCAAGTGAATTAAGAGTGGCTTTTCAGGCCTCAATTAGGGCACATAATTGCAAAACTCCTGTACTTATAAAAAAGGACTGAATTTGAAACAAATTATCGGTATTACTAGGGGGTCAAATTGTTGAGGGGTTATCTTGTTACGGGGTTATAAATAAGGGGGTGTAAAAATTGGGGGTTAAGAAACGTGGGGTTAAAGAGTGGGACACCGCTGAAATATCCTTATAAAATTGAGCTCAAGGCAACAATATCTTTCAGATGATAAAAACTTCGTTATGAATTTAGTTTATTAACTGATTTTATTAACTTAGGTTATAAACTGAAATTATGAGAAATAAACTTATGAGAAAAAAATTTTTGTCACAAAACTCAAACACGAAAAAAATGACAGACGCGAATCTTCTCAACCTCTTAAAACACTTAACTCAACCTCTTTGAAATTTGATTCATTGAAAGCCATTTATGAAAATTAAAAACTTGACGCGAATGATATATATTCCAAACTGGCAAATTTCAAACCTTCAAGACTGTACAAATTGTCCCAGCTAAGATAACTTTTAATTTTGCGCTTAAAGCATCAATATCTTTCAGACAATATTTTAAAAAGTCTGTCAAAAAGGCTGAGTTAATATTGTCAGCAAAAACTACCCGATAAGATATTTCATTTTCTGGTATAGAAAAGAATCAGAGCTCGAACATTTTCGACAAAACTCAGCAACTTTTTCACTTTGTGACATTGAATAATCTTGTGCTTAAACTTGATGCACAACACAGATCGCTGGGCCTGAAGCAGCAAAACAGATAAAAATTGTTAAACAAAAAACTTAAATAGCATTTAAGTCATTTTCAAAATTTATACTCAACTGGTAGGAAGGATTTTATAATTAATTTGAAGAAATGATGTATATAAATGCTTTGGAGGCGAAGCTCATTGAAAAAAAAAGAAAACCTTTCTACATGGTCTGACCGATTTAAATAGGTCCAGGCGGAATACACTGATTTCTTTCATTTCTTCTAAATTCGACAAAAAAATTTCGTGATACTTAATGCCTTGAATATGGTCGACAAAAAAATTTCGTGATACTTAATGCCTTGAATATGGTATTGGTTTTGATAGTTGAACAATTAACGACTATCAGTAGCGGGCTGAGAGGGAACGGGTGGTAAGGGCAATGTTTTCCAATACGTTTTCCAATACGTTGATTTTGGTTAGCTGTCAATCCTAAAAAAAAAACTTTAAAACGCGCTAACTTTTCTTTTGAAAGAGAACAAATGGCCATTACAAATCCTAGGACAATTGCCGTCGCGGGCTAAATCACAACCTCTAGATCAAGAGGTCCGGAGAAGTTAAGAAATTTGAATTGATCATAAGCGAACTATCCAACAATTTAACTGATTTTGCTTAACAAGTTAATAATCTGAAAAAATCGCGAACTTGATGACATAATAAAAAATTTTAAATTTTTGTGAAATACCAGTTTCTGCAACTTATTGACAAAAGTCAACTCAAAAAATCACATGGGTAACAGCCAATATCAAATGTGTTTTTTGTTCAATTATTGCATTTAATTATTTATTCAATAACTTATGGCACACTCCTGGTTCTGTATATCTAAATTTTCTTAAATTGATCGTTTAATTCGCAAGTTTATGAAAATCCGACAAGTCTTTAAACTTCATAAAATAACTTGTGTTATATTTAGTTCGATTGAATTTAATGAATGAAGTCAACATACACTTTAGGCGAAAAGGTAATCTGCATTATTATTGTAACCCAACGAGTACTGGTATCTGGAGTTTGATATGATATTTCAATAATGGCATGCCTTTCTATCAAACGCATATTTTCTATCTCAATTTTCGTTGAAATATTTTACTTGACTTTAGCTGGTCTGAGCATTTCGAATAACGCATTTATACGAGACGCTTCTACCGAATATCAAGTAAGTTGTAAATTTTTCACAAAATCAGACTGGCAAACATTCAGCAAAATTGAAATTTAGATATCCGGTAGTTCATTGAGTCTACAGTACTTACAGCGATATACCGGACAAACAAAAATTGGTTCATATGAAGGAAACATTCGTGGCTATGCAGTTTCTGGACATTCCGAAGTGAAAATTGCACTGGAGTCACAATATTATGAGCTTGCCGACAATGTCAGCGCACAGATTTTCAGACAGACATTTCCAAATGGCCTGACCAACACTTCTACTGGTGAAAGGTTATAACAAAGCCAACTAACTATTTGATCTATTCAGAAAAAAATATGTTCAACTCAGGATTAGGTATTTAGTTTTTTGACGGTCAGTACACAAGCTGGATAGGGCCATACCAGCTATATTAAAATGCATATATATCAGCAAATTGTAACAATGAAGTCATATATCAGCATTAAATGCATCATCGTAATAATTTATCTCAGCCGTCCTTCCTCTACAATGGCGCTTATACAGTTGTCGATTAATTGAATTTTGCACAACGATCTGCACCACCTTATAAATGTATCGAGCTTCAGAGGAGCCCGACGCTTATTTAAGTTCTTATGTAGCTCATCGATTCCGGGTAGCTTTCTTGTTTTTTCTCACTTAGTTTTTCGGCTTATTGCTGCTTCGTCCGCATTGCTGTCAGAGTAGCTCTAAGTGTCAACTTCTTTGCTAATATTTGAATTCTTCAGCGTTTCTTGATATTTGTATCCGTCTCTCAGCAGTTTTTGAGATGGTTTGGCGTGGGGGTTAAATAATTTCAGCTTTCGCCTTGCAACGGCTGAAATTTTGGCGCAATCTCGATGTCATGGCAAACCTCGTGTGTTAATGTGTTAATACTATTCCAATGTCGAATCACATGTTATCAAAAAGCTGTACAAGTGCACAAAAAGCGGAACCAATACGCATCAGCAAATAAATCTTAGCTTAGAAAAGAATAAGGTTCTTAATAATAAAATAAGTTGATGCTAGGCTAAATTCATTTGTTCAAACCTGCTGATGCTCAAATGTGCAAAAAGCTCTAAAATCACGTTAAATTTTTTCTTTTTTGTACTTTTTTCTCTCAAAGTCAAATCGATAGTAAAACTCTCCAGGCAACCTTTACATTTAGCGTCCTGCATCATGTCCCAATTCAAAAACTTGGTCAGTATCAACAGCCAGTATTGAACTGGCGTAAAAAGCTTCGCATTAGGCTCTACATTGCGCTACAATATAGTCAGGGGAAAAAAGACAGCCAAAATCAAAACGAAAATAAAAGACAGAAACATAAAAAAAATTGTGTCCGCTGAAGTTTATAAACATCCTGAAAAACAATTGAAAACCATTCATCGAACGGCAACAAAGGCGAAAGTTATCGGGTCTAAATTTATTGAGCCGAAAACAAAAAGCTGTTATAAAGAGTTTCATGAAACTTTTTGAAAGATTTTGTGGTCCATTCATACTGAAGCACATAATCTATACGAACAGCCAGTGTCGGACAATTTCACGCGCAAATTCAGGTTTTAACCCTCTAAGATGCCAGTTTTCAATGTCCATATTCAACAAAATTTTCTTCGAGTACTGCGAGATTTTACATAATCCAATAAGAAATGATCAGAGCTATTGTTCAAAGTTTAGTTTTCAGTTATAAGTGTAAGTTTCTTCAGGTCTCTACAGTTGTAGCATTCGCATAAAATGCGCCAAGTGCATGTGTCTGATTCGTTGTAGCAAGTTTTGAAACACTTTGTGTACATTCATAGAAATCTGTTTTTGCATTCTGAGTCAAACAATATGTCACATTTGAAGTATTCGTTGTACAGATTACCAAGACGACATGCCCGAAACCAGAAATCTGACTCGCACTTCTTCAGACGCATTTGTTTGCAGACGAAATTTCGTGTCATTTGAGCTCTTCGGTTTCCAACGTCAGTGATGCTTACATGGCTTCTCCAATCGATGTCAACTTTTCCAGCTAGTATTTTTGCAAACAGCAGTCCAACATGAAGCTCTTGGTAAAGAGACAAAGGAAGGATGTTAAGTTTCACGAGTTTGTCGTCAGAGGAGATATGGCTATTGCTTGTCATGAAAATCCGCGATATCGCCTTCCGCTGCACACTTTCTTTGATTCCTAAGTCACCTTTTGATGGTTTCGAGATAGCTGAACCGTAGCACAGAATTGGCACAACGTAACAGATATATGCGTTTTTTCTGGTCGCGAAATTCGCCTTTGGGAGATTCCTTTTGAGTACGAAGAGAGTGTTTAAGGCTTTCTCAGCCCTCTTTTTCGTGTGTTGCGTCCAAGAGAGCGTGTCGGTTATCAGGATGCCCAGTGGTTTCGAAGCTGTAACTGGGGAGTGCAATCGTAGCTGATCCTTCGATACAGAGGACTTTTTTTTTCGTCAGGTTCATGGACATGCACTTTTCCTCGCACCACCTCCAAAGTCTCCTAACATCTATGTTGAGGGTTAAAGGGTTGTCTCCAACAATTTTGTAGTCGTCTGCATAACCAAATGTTGCGGACATGACACAGGACGGTAGATCATTTATGAAGACTAGGAAGAGAAGCGGCCCGAGTATAGAGCCATGGGGAACGCCGCTGAAGACTTCCAGCTCTCCGGAAATTGTGTCATTCAGCCTCACGGTTTGCTTCCGGTTCTAGAGGTAGCTGTGTATCAGAGATAAACAATTTCCTCCAATTCCAGAAGTCGATAATTTCTCCATGAGGATTCCGTGCGAGACTTTGTCAAAAGCCTTTTGAAAGTCCAAGTAGAAGGTGTTCAGGTAGTTGCAGTTTGGCGAATCTAGGCAGCTAAATATCTCGTGTAGATACTCTATTAGGTTTGTTATCGTCGATCGTTTAGGTATAAAACCGTGTTGGTCTGGTGTTAGGGTTGGGTAGACAATTTGGGCCAGTTTATCAAATATTAGTTTCTCAAGCAGTTTTGAAACTGCTGAGAGCAGGCTGATCGGCCTGTAATTTGATACGTCTTGTTTATCCCCGTCTTTGAAAATTGGTGCAATTTTGCTGATCTTCCATTTTGATTGAAATATCGCTTTATTTGCAATCAAGTTGAACAGTAAGTGAAATGATTTTGGTAGTGACTTTGAGAGGTTTTTCAGAAAAGTATTACCCATCATATCTGGTCCATTTGCCTTATTTAAGTGCAGCTCGTTCAGGGCATCTTCTATTTCATTGATAGTGAAATTGATACTGTTCAGAAGAACATTATCTTGTCGTTCTGCTTTCCCAACGTTGGCGTTTCGTGTGAAAACGGATTGAAAATAAATGTTAAACAATTCAGCTTTTTGAGCGTCTGTATTGGCTATTTTTTGATCTAGGAAGATCTCTGAAGGGATCATGTGAGACTTGGTGATCGATTTCAAATATCGTTGTATTTCGCTAAATTTCCCATTCTCAAAAAGCATTTTTTCGTGGAGATGTTGGTCATTTTGAAGGGACAGTGTTAGTTCAGTTTGCAGATTTTCAATTTTGCCTTCGTTCGATGGGGTAGGTTTTCGCTGATTTTTAAGTTGGAGTGTATTTAATTTCTTGATAAGGTTGGAGGAATTGCTTCCCACCCAAGGAGCTAGTTCAGACCTGTGTTTTCTAGTGATAGGTAGCAGGTCCTGTAGTATTTCGTATAACCACTCGTCCCAATGATCGAGCTTCAGTTCAACGTTGCTCAAGCAAAATGGTTGGAAGGGGTGTTGACGAATGAATTCATTCACTTCTTCCCAGTTTGTTTTCTTGTACGCAAAAACGCCAAAATCTAGTTTTTGTTTGATGGCTGGTGTCTTTTTATGAACAGGTCGGTATTCAAACGAGACTTGCGGTTTGTTACTTAGGAGAATGTCTAGTGATTTTCCATCAGAGGTTTTTATTAGTTGTTGGAAGTTGGACTCACAGAGTTCGTCAAGGATTGACTGCTCATCTAGAGAAGTTGAAGTCATTGACGGCCAGTGTGTACAGTTAAAATTTATATCTCCAACTATATACGAACAAATTGCACTTTGTTCAGATTGCTTATGCCTCAGGAACTTTAGGAGTTCGATTAGATCTGAGATTTCCCATGTGTAGGTACTGTTTGAAAGAGCGCTGTAGATGCAGCATATTAAAATCGGCTTGTTCAGTGATATGCGGATGATAACACAATCTTGAAACGCGGAATTGATTTGGCTACTTGGAATGTTACGGTTTACTGCTATGAGTACGCCACCATGTTTTGTCAAGCCTTTGTCACTCGGTCTGTCATTTCGGTGGATAACGTAGTTTGCCAGAAAAAGTGCAGCGTCGCCGATGCTTTCTGTCAACCAGGTTTCAGTTAGGCAGATGACTTGATAAGCGTTTTTTACTTGGACAGCATTAGAGAAGGTTGTCCGCCGTTGATACTCAAGAATACTTTTAAACATTTTAAACAAGGATATTCATCGTCGCTGCTAGTCAATTCAGTGCTTCGGGATCTGGAAGTTTCTCTTTTATCCACTTTCCACCTTTTCGAACGTACAGAGTTGCATCATGGACTTTTATGTCCTTTCTGTCTACAGATTTGTCGCTGATAAGTTGCCGTCTTCTGACGAGGGCAAGGTTTTCTTGATCAGCTTCTTCCTTCGTCAGTTGTCGGCTGAGGTAAAGTTGGTTGCGGGGAGTTTTTCAGTTTCCTCGCAGATAGCAATATCATTCGTCGTTGATATGCATTGGACACTTTTAATAGGATTGTTCTTATCTTGTTCTCGTCATATCGACCCAGAGGCATTGACATCCATATGGGTCAATACTTTTTGAAGTTCGGCGAGATCGTGTGCTTGGCGCAATCTTGCTTCCTTCTCCGTTTATTCAGGGATTCCTCGTATGCGAATGCCATCGAGTTCCTCGGCGGGTTTCGGTGGCGGTTTTTGGCGATTGAGCTAGGTTGGGTTGGATATTCTGAGTCAGGTTGTTTTGTGCTTAGCAGTGTTTTGATTTTGGTCACTGTTTTTTTGAGGTTACCATTGCAATTCGGTTCTGAAAATGCAAAATTTCCTCATCTGCCCTTAGTTTTTCAATCCTCGTGAAATAATATGAACTGGCCAATTCTGGTTGAGTTTTTCACATTGATGCTTCATTTTTCTCGCTGAGGTTTCACGTCGCATGAACGACATCTTTTTTACGCCGCCTATTCGAGAAAGAAATTGTTAAGATGCAAAACCAAGCACAAAAAATAAATCTGTCTTTTTCATTCCCGGAATACATGGGTAAGTTTTTGAATCCAAAAACTGATAG